TTATAGCGATATGACATGTACACAGTAATGTATATCCCGGCTCCCCTGTACGCCATTATAGCGATATGACATGTACACAGTAATGTATATCCCGGCTCCCCTGTACTCCATTATAGCGATATGACATGTACACAGTAATGTATATCCCGGCTCCCCTGTACTCCATTATAGCGATATGACATGTACACAGTAATGTATATCCCAGCTCCCCTGTACTCCATTATAGCGATATGACATGTATACAGTAATGTATATCCCAGCTCCCCTGTACTCCATTATAGCAATATGACATGTATACAGTATGTATATCCCCTGCTCCCCTGTACTCCATTACAGTGATATGACGTATACAGTACTTAATCCTTGAGTCCCCCGCGGCAGTGGAGAGGGTGTCTCCTCTCAGCGGAGGAGAGCTGACCTCTCCCCTCAGCAGTGGTGCCGAAGAAGCCGGAAACTGGAACTCGGCTTCACAATAAGGCTTGGAGAGCAGCCGCACACCATCATCTGTGCTCGCCGCTAGAGAATTTCTCCTCGCATTTGGCTAGCGGCTTTTTAAAGCCCTGACCTAGGCTATAAGATTGCCAAGACCCTGAGCTGCAGCATGGTGGCCAAGACCATACAGCGGTTTAACAGGACAAGTTCCACTCAGAACAGGCCACGCCGCGGTTGACCAAAGAAGTTGAGTGCACATGCTCAGTGTCATATCCAGAGGTTGTCTTTGGGAAATAGACATATGGGTGCTGCCAGCTTTGCCGCAGAGGTTGAAGGGGTGGGGGGGTCAGCCTGTCAGTGCTCAGACCATACGCTGCACACTGCATCAAATTGGTCTGTATGGCTGTTGTCCCAGAAGGAAGCCTCTTCTAAAGATGATACACAAGAAAGCCCGCAAAGAGTTTGCTGAAGACAAGCAGACTAAGGACATGGATTACTGGAACCATGTCCTGTGGTCTGATGAGACCAAGATAAACTTATTTGGGTCAGATGTACAAAGACAAATGTGTCTTGCCTACAGTCAAGCATGGTGGTGGGAGTGTCATGGGGCTGCATGAGTGCTGACGACACTGGGGAGCTACAGTTCATTGAGGGAACCATGAATGCCAACATGTACTGTGACATACTGAAGCAGAACATGATCCCCTGCCTTCGGAGACTGGGCAGCAGGGCAGTATTTCAACATGATAACAACCCCAAACACACCTCCAAGATGACCACTGCCTTTCTAAAGAAACTGAGGGCAAAGGTGGTGGACTGGCCAAGAATGTCTCCACACCTAAACCCTGTTGAGCATCTGTGCAGCATCCTCAAACAGAAGGTGAAGGAGCGCAAGGTCTCTAACATCCACCAGCTCCATGATGTCATCATGAAGGAGTGGAAGAGGGCTCCAGTGAGAACCTATGAAGCTCTGGTGAACTCCATGCCCAAGAGGGTTAAGGCAGTGCTGGAAAATGATGGTGGCCACATAAAATATTAACACTTTGGGCCCAATTTGGACATTTTCACTTAGGGGTGTACTCACTTTTGTTGCCAGCAGTTTAGACATTAATGGCTGTGTGTTGAGTTATTTTGAGGGGACAGCAAATTTACACTGTTATACAAGCTGTACAATCACTACTTTACATTGTAGCAAAGTGTAATTTCTTCAGTGTTGTCACATGAAAAGATAGAATAAAATATTTACGAAAATGTGAGGGGTGTACTCACTTCTGTGAGATACTGTACAATGCCAGTCTTGAGTGTATGTATATATATATATATATCTGGCTGATTAAAACAAGGGGGGGCCAAAATATTTATTTCACCATGCCGTGGAGCTGTGTCCCCACCACATGGGTCAACTGCATATTTTTGAGCACAGAGCTCATACCTGACCCACTGATCCTCTGGAAAAACCACACTCACTCACAGTCCAGCTGTAGACAGTTCCTGAAGTCAGCATGCTCCACAGACAGGAACAGTCCATTTACAAGGGGGGGGGGGGGGGGTCAGGAGCTGAAGGGACCAGGTTTGAGCAGGGAAGATCATCAGGTCAGGTAAGTAGATATCTGCTGTCCTCTCCCCTGGAAAGAAACAAGCAGTTAACCTGTGCAGGTGGGTACATCTCCACTACATGGGCAAAAAAAAAAAAAATTGTCCATAGTTGTTTAAGCTTTTGGGTCACTTATCTTAGGAGGTCTGAAATACTTGTCTGTGCTATCACTTTGTCTCACTGGTATTGGTGGGAGTTTAAATTTTAATCAAAGCTTTTCAGAAGCCCAGATTATATTTATTGGAGTGTAGCATTGCAGGAGGGAGATTTAGCATTTTGGGGGTATACATGTTATGGGGCCATTACATTTTTCACACACTTTTGGGGTCTGGAACAGCCAGCCACATAGGCTGAGAAGGATTTGAGACACAGTTTGAGCCTGCCTATTGAGGGAAGACTACACTATGGATGGCTGCTCTGGACTCCAAACTACAGACACCGTGTTCCTTGTGAGACCACTTGAGCATGTGGGTGCCTTTTCTTGAGAAGGAAAGGGTTTAGCCTGGTGAGTGCCGATCTGATCTTTGTGATGAAGAGGGCTGACTTGATTGTTCAGGGGCAGGGTATAGGGAAACATTTATCACTGGGTGAAAAGTTTGTCTTTGACAAGATATAAAAAAAGAGTTGTTCATATAAGAAAAAAAAAAAATGCACAGTAAAAAGATTGAAGGGGACACTTTAACATGTTTATTGAACATTTTGTATCCCTATTGTATTTGTATGTAAGTAAGCACATGACACCCATTGTGATTTTATCTTTATTTAACACTATGTTATTAGGATCACACTTAATGTTTTTTTTTTTATTGTGAGGTAGAGTCACTGTGCAGTATGTACTATATGTGGCATTATAGATCTCATTTACTTTATACTGTATGTTTCATAGCCTACCTGCCCTAATTATAGAAAATGGTTTGTTCAGCTCCCATTGTAGTTATAATACACTAATCAGCAGCTGTTGATCAAGAGTTTTCCAATTGTTGGATCAAAATCCAGCCAGTTTGATCAACTTCTGTCAATCCATAGCCAGTTTTAAACGAAGACCTAATCTCAACATTTCCTGTTGTACATAGAATATTTAGCAAGCTTGAGTTAAAGCAACAGCTTAAGAGGAAAAAAACAAACCCCCTTTAGCCTTAAATTTACTCCCATAAAGAAGCAGCAGCAGTGCACTACGTACTGTCATTGTGCCTACTCTATCAGCGTCCATTGCACACAAATGCATTTGAATGCCAGTTTCACAGACGTGCTTACAAGTCATCAAGGCGTACTGCATAGAAAAACAGCCTGAAACGCCACTTTTATTGCAAGATCGTGCCTTCTTGCAGCAGGGGCCGTCTTGAACCAGAACAGCGAATTGGACCTTTAGATTGTAAGCGCCATGTGCAGGGCCCTCCTAATCCTCCTGTTTCGAACTGTATTTAACCCCTTCCTGCCAACACCTCCCAACCCTTTATGAGCTTCTGAATGCTGGGGCATTCAGGTCATTGTGACAGCTGTGATTGGCTGTCACATGATCAAAAGCTCCTGCTCGCATCGGGAGCTTACCAAACCCCACCAGCTACTGTGCTGGGAGCACACTCTCAGTACAGGAAGTTGTTTATACAGGGCCGCCTATATGCGGCCACTGGTCATTAAGTCCCACCCGTGAGAGGCCGTATTTGTGCACAGCTGGTGGTTAATTGCACAGCGCTTTACAATATAAAAAGGGAAACTGTACAAACTGTGGGTGCTATATAAATCCTGTATAATAATTATCATCATGTATGTTAAAGATCTTCCACTGAGAGTGCTAGCACACACCCACCACTCAAACTTTGGCCATCCTCCAACCCATTTCAGAGAGCTCAGTTCCTCTTAAGGCCAAAATCATCACTTTCATTTACAGATAAATGAATGAATACAACCAACACAAACGTTAGATATGAAAGTTTGGTTTATTGTTGTATTAAAGAGAAGTTCCTGAACCATAATGTCACCTGTACAATTATAGAGAAAGGCTATTTGCGGTGGTGAAAACAAATGGTTGGTGGTTGAGATTTTATCATTGAAGGTACTACTGTAAAAGCAGTCAAATTTGAGAAGCACATGAAGTGTACAAATTGGCCACTTACAGTTTCTATGTAGAAGAGGGGATGTACAGTACATTCACTTAGAGGACTCTGGTAACCTAGCTGTATGTCCAACAGCCCTACATCCAACTTACCTGTATTGAAGTATATCCCCCATCCTGCAGGCTGATGATTCCTGCAGAAATCCCCCATCACAGCTGTGAACTTCCATTGCGGCATGTGTTAACTACATGCGTGTGTGCATAAATCCTGTCCTGGCTGACTTTGCCCTTCTCTTCTGGCCCCCGCCCTGTCCCACCAATTTCCTTGCAAAACATTATGTGAGTGGAGGAGCAGCAGATAAATGACAGAATACCCCCTCCTCCACTCTCAGAATATTTTCCCACTCCATTCACAGAATTCCTTACATTCTTTTCAAAGTCAGATTCTGCCAGATCTAGTGCTGCATGGATTAACTGCTTGGCTGTGTGTAGGTCACCTTGTGAAGACCAGCATTATTGAAAGGAGGATTTCTACAGGAATCAGCCTGCAGGACCTGGGTTATACCTCTTTACAGATCAGTTCCATCGATGCTGCCCTTTTTCCACCAAACTTCAGCTATAAAAAGGTGGGTTGGCGGGATAATTTATTGTTTACGGTTTTATAGTGTTCATTATTGCACTGGTCTTACTGCTGAAACGTAAAGCAGCAACAATGAGATGCAGCACCAGTGTTGTAATCGTTAACAGTTCAGACTTCCCTTCAGGGAGGATCAGGTAAGGTGTGCAGTGTTCTTTACCAAATGAAAAATACTGTTCTATCACAAGAAAATTGTTCAGCTTCTGAGCCAAGACTTGATGTAACAGATTCAGCCAGATTATAAACTGTGCAAAGTATGGCTGCCCCCATTCATTGTTCTGTTTCTACAGTTTCTCAATCAGGATGGCAGATGCTCCACCACCACCATTACAGATTCCAGCGACACCAAACTCTCCCTTCTTCAATGCATGAGCCATGTGTCCAACAATTCTGGCCCCAGACATCCTGTAGAATATATACACACAGTATTTGTTAGAGTAAAAATAACAGCACAATTAAGAAAAGCAACCAGATTTATCTATATTACTATTTCTGTGGTTAAAAAGGAAATGGAACATACGACAGTAAACTGAAACTGCATACGCTTATAGGGGGGAAAAAAAACCTGTCTAAGATCTGTAAGCATTCAGGATTCTTGCACAAAACCATGAACCTAAAATTGGGGGCATTTTCCAATCTGGAAACTTGTTTTGATGACATCCAAGAGGGAATTTCCCCTCATACTGGAAAGATTTCCTTATCTTCCTGCTGTGCCTACAGAACAAGGAGCAGCCTTCCAATGGAACATGGATGGGAAAAAACAGGGGTGTAAACTACCACCTAATCTATCCATAACAAAGACGTTTGGGGTCACTTAAAGTGACGGATTAATGGCTTATACTGCAGTTAACACTCCCAACATAATCTATATACAAGTTTAACTGCTGAGCACGACTTACAAATCCTTTTTGAATCTGGCCCACTGATACAGAAGCTTTTCATATCTCCTTCCTCAGTTTTCAGCCTCACTAAAGAAACCCAAAGTTGGGAATACATAAAATCAATACAGAACAAAGCTTTGCGTACCCAATGGGATGCCCAAGAGAGACTGCTCCTCCATTGACATTAACTTTCGCAGGGTCAATATCCAACATTTTGATATTAGCCAACACGACAACACTGAATGCTTCATTGATTTCCCACATGGCAACATTGTTTTTCTTTATTCCAGAGGCAGACAGAACCTGAAGGACAGCACAAGAAAAAGGTATAGGGAGCATGATCAGGGAGAGGAACAGAATAGGAGGCAATATATGGACACTCTAAAATGCATTTCAGACTACAGAGAATTACGCAGGTCTTTATGAAAATCACAACACTCTACAAATATGTACTGTGATGCCAGTTTGGACAGAAGAATTTTGGCTTTCAAAAAGGGAATGATTGCTTAGGTTGCAAGAAAGCAGATTAGTGATTTTTTTTGGGAAGGAGTGGGTGGGGGATTCATTTGGCATCTTTGCACTAAGTGCTAGATGACTGAAAAAGACTTTTACATGCATGTGACAAATGTCAGAATTGGCGTGGATTTGAAGTATATTTTGTAATTACGTACAGAATCTGGAGGGCCTGGGGTTACCACAAGAATATCCAAACTCCATGCCACCACATTTTATATGCATTTTAAAACATTTTAAAAAAAAAAAAAACATTTCTTGAAGAAATCATCTCCTACCTTCGGAATTGCATATGCAGGGGCAATTGGAAAGTCGATTGGCTCTACTGCAGAGTCTGCAAATGCTGTTTTTTATTTGGAGGAAAAAAAAAAATTAATAGTTTTTTTCAGGTTGCTATGTTTTGCATATAACGATTAGCTACATTCAAGTCTCTAATGGTTTAAGGACAGCATGCTTCTTAAAGCGAAAAGTAGATTGTCGAGCTAAATGCTTTTCTGAGTTAGTGGTACCAGTCACACTTCCGTTTATCGGTGTTTAGATGTCAGTTTAGCTGCAATTAGAGATAACAGAATTCTGTGCATCCAGGATCGATTCGACACTCTAAACACAGCTAAATCTGTTTTAGAACCGCTTAAGGACTGCCCTGTAGCAGATATAGTGCTACAGGGCGGCACCTGTGTGCAGAATTGAGATTATATACATTTCACATTTAACAGCCGCGGATGTCTATCACCGGGTCCCAGACGGTAATGACCAGCCAGCGCCCGGTGATTACCGAGCATCTCTGACAGGGAGGAAGATTGTTCATAACAAAACAATCTTCCTCCCCGTCAGCTTGAGCACACTGCTTGGGATGGCTGTGCTTACAGTGAAGAACACACCATCCGCCCCCTAGAAAAAACACTCCCAGCACATAGTTAACCCTTTGATTGCCACTCATGTTAACCCCTTCCTGCCCAGTGCCATTAGTACAGTGTCGGTGCTATTTTTTTTTAGCACGGACCACTGTATTGGTGTCAGTTATATCAAGTTAGTTCCCCCCCCAGTGTCAGAATGTCTGCCGCAGTCCTGCTAAAAGTCACTGATCGCAGCCATTACTAGTACTAGTAGAAAAAAAAAAAATCCAATTATCTATACCGCCATTTGTAAATGCTATAAAACTTTCATGCAAACCAATACATTTACACGTATTGGGATTATTGTACCTCGGACACGGCCGATGACAGATCTGAGTACCGGCCCCATTGCCGGTACCATGTGACCTGCTGTGACCAATTACAGCAAGTCACATGACAGTTGTATACAATTCATTCATGCCATCCATTGTATACTAGTGTGTTTAGCTGTGAATGGTCACAGCGATCACATGCACAAGCTGGGCCAATCACTGCCCAGCTGTGTCATGTGATTAGCCGTGGTCAAATCACAGCTAAGCACAAAAAAAAAAAAAAAAAAGAAAATTTAAAAAAAAAAAATCCTGAATGAATCGATGTCATTCAGGTAAATGCTTTGCTATGAGCAAATTGTGTAAAAAAAAAAAAAAAAAAAAAAAAAAAAAAAAAAAAAAAAAAAACTGATCACTTCCCCAAAGTAGTACAATGTTACTATGGTAACATTGTACTACTTTGACCATAGTGAAATATGAACAAAAAATCTTAAGAAAAAAAAAAAAAAAAAATGTAATAAAAAATGTAATAAAAAAAAAAAAAATTTTTTTTTTTTTTTTTTTTTAATGTCACCAGTCAGTGTCCCTGATCACTGCCATGCCAGTTATAGGATGACGCTGTACTGCACTGGTGACAGTATGGAAAAAAAAAGTGAAAATAAATGTTTTTTCATTTTCCGAAAAATTATGACAAAAAAAAAAAAAAAAAAAAAAAAACACAACTTCAAAAAACTCGCCATGCCTCTTATGAAGTACGTTGGACTGTCTACTTTGCAAACAGGGGTCATTTGGGGGATATCTGTACTGTTCTGACATTCTTGGCCTTCAAGAAATTAGATTGGCTGTCAGTACTTCAGGATTGATCAATATTCAGATATATCCCATAGTTTGTGAACTCTAACTTCAAACTATGGGATATAAAACTTTCCTACAAACTAAAAAAATACATCCTAATTTGGGTTATTTTCAGCAAAGACATGTAGCAGAATACATCTTGGCCTAAATTTATGAAGAACAATTATTTATTTGCAAACTTTTATAAACAAAGAAAAATGTGTTTTTTCTTCAAAATTTTCTGTCTTTTTTTGTTAATTTAGCAAAAAATAAAAACCCCAGTGTTGATTAAATACCACCAAAAGAAAGCTCTAGTTGTGTGAAGAATATTATAAAATTTTAGTTTGGGTACAATGTTGTATGACCGCACAATTGTCATTCAAAGTGTGAGAGCGCAGAAACCTGAAAAATGGCCTGGGCAGGAAGGGGGTAAAAGTGCCCAGTATTGAAGTGGTTAAGGGGGGGTAAATCCTCAAAAGGGCAAGTGGTAGAAAAAGGAACATCTAAATAAAAAAAAAAAAAAAAAAAAAAAAAAAGGAAAAAAAGATCTGGGAGGTTTTATTTTCTCCTACATCTTGGATACCTTCTCCTGCATTTAGAAAAGCTAAATGCTGGAGTGCGAGTGTGAATGAGGTCTTTGTTCAGAAAACACCAGAAACTCTTCATTGCTGGAGTGCATACTTATAATGCATCAAAATGCCAAGTATTGAACAGTTGCACTGATAAAAGTTCATACTTGGTACTTTATAAAGTTTACTTATTGCAAAGTATTGGCTTAGTAACTGTCTTTCAGTGCAAAACTAAAAAGTGATAGCAATCTAAATAATGGTCCCCAAAACACAACTTGTTGAACACAGAAAAGAGATGCTAAAGGATTCTAGTCAGAGGCGCAACTTGAACCTTTAGGGCCTGGTGCACAAAAACATGAAGGGGCTCCCTTGACCTGAGCCCTTTATTATGGTCCCTCAGTGGGCCCCCTTCCTACCCTTACATTAGACTCCCCTTTATAGCAGAGTTCCCAGAGCCCCCTTTATGTCAGAGTTCCCCTTTACAATATATCAGAGTCTGCAGGGTTTGCCTTACAGTGCAGACCGTGATGTAAAGGGGAACTCTGCGGACTGATGTAAAGGGAAGTCTGGTGTAAGTTTCTCTGGTCACCAGAACCCACCTTTCCATCAGAGTTTGCAGAGTTTCTACCTACACTGCAAAGTTTCCCCCTGCACTGTAAGAGTGAACTCTACTGACTTTGATGTAAAGTGAAATGCTGGGAACTCTGATGTAATGGGGGGCTCTGGTGACCAGAGAACCTTTTTACATCAGAGTACCCCTTTACACCAGATTCTGCAGAGTGAATATACTAAGGTAAAGGGTTTCACGGATGTAAGAGGGGAATTAGGACAAATGGGGGGGGACCTTTATATCGTGTCTGCCTTTACTTTAGCATCTCCACTTGCCTCTTACATCAGTGAACCCCCATAGAGTGCCTGACTGACTTCCCCACAGACTGTGTGGCCTGGAGCTGTCACAATGTGACCTCCTGTAATTTGCCTGCAGGCTTTGGTCGTCCTCTCCCCACGCCCCCTCCTTGCATTCGCTTTCAAATTTGCTGTAAAGGCAGCAAGCGCTGCAATGTCACCACACACCTGAGCCAGAGCCGAGCTCAGCTGAATATTAATCAGCCGGCTGCACAGCCACAGAGTCAGAAGATTTGTAACCGTCTGAGCTTGGCTCAGGCAGGTATGGGGGCACTCTGCATAATCATTTTCAGAGCTGGCTAATAAGTAGTTGGCTGAGCTCGGCTCAAGAGAGGATTGGGGCCCCCCCCCAAGGAGGGGCTTTATATTTTATCAGGTTGCCGCTCATTAGGCTTTATAGGAAGTTAAAACCAATGCCGCTATAGGAAGCAGGTTTGATGTTAAAGACTCTGATGTATGTTTCTCTGATTCATACTAGACCACTGGGCACAAGAACTTTGAAAAAGGGAGTTTTATTTTATAATCCTAGAACATTGAAAGTCAGAAGAAACCCTTTTTTCCCCCCATGTAACAGCCCTATATACACTATATACATACCTAAAATACGTGCCAGAGGTGTGATATTGAGTCTTTTTGCTGCTTCTGAAGTCATGAGAACCAAAGCTGCTGCCCCGTCATTCAGAGTGCTGGCGTTGGCTGCTGTCACAGTGCCTGATAACAGAGGGAGGGGAGAAAATAAATAACTTAAACCCCCATAAAGCCTATTCATCAAAAACATTAGGAGCCACCCTATGGCTTCAAAGTATGACATCCTAATGTGAACCTGGAAAGTAAGGCAACAGCAGGAAAACAAGGAAAGGTTAGTCTCTAGAGAATTTGAAGTAACGTGCACCCACTCGGGATCCACTTTACGGCTATGAGGTGCCTCATATTACGCAATACTTTTCTTGCCACATCCCTGCTCTGTGGACTACGACTGACCAGAACCATACTAGCAACACCCACATTATTCATCCACGTAGGGACTCCTATCTATGCTTTCTTTAGAGCTATACAATCTTAGGACTTTCACATGGTCCTAAACAAAAAAACAAAAAACTGAAGTACAAAATATGACAGCTTTTCTGGATTACCTGTGCATGATCCCAGAACACACCCACACAATGCTTGGGTAACCCATATAAGCCACCAGATTTTTGTAAGCTTTCACACCAAAATATCTGGAAATTCTAATAGCCACACCTTATATATGAAGTCCTAATATGGCCACACCCAAACCCAACCCCTATGTATACATTAGCTGCAGGACAAGGAATCCCCTCCCTCCCACAGCTCACCAAATCAGGAATGACAGACAACATCTGAGTTGGGACCCAAACTCAGTTCCACACAAACGCAAGACAAATACTACCTACCAAGCAACTCTGGTAGAAATACATGCATATTTATCCTGGGAATGGGTCACTAGTTAATGATGGATTGATGGATAAAGAACTCAAGTCAAAAATGGCCTCTCCATATACCTCTAATGGCCGCTTCCATTCAAGTTTAGGTTTACTAGCTCTGTACTCATTCCCTGTAACATAGGAGTCATTTTAGGCATATTTCTACTCACCATGGTCTTTCTGGAAGACAGTTTTGAGCTTTGGAAACTTGCTGAAGTCTACTTTTTTGTACTCTTCATCCTCTTGTACAACAATATCAGGTTTCCCTGAAAAAAAAAAAAAAATCCAGGTATACAAGGCATTTTTTTTTCTGCACAGAATTTAAAAAATTCAACACATGATGTACATAACAGGCCCATTCACAAGCATTTTTATTACATGAATACACATTTCAAGTAGAAGTGCAATTCAGTACTAGGGAGCTGAACGACATCTATGCCTATCTCATCCAACTTCTACATTGACAATATGATCCTTCTCCTTACATTTAGAACCACTAACTTTTTTTTTTTTTTTTTTAAGAAAGTCCGATGTAGCCACAAAACATGCATTAGGTCCAACTACTAACCCTAACCAGACAGATCTATAAAGCAAAACTGAAAATGGCCAGCACACCAAAGAGTTAACAAAAATATATATATTTTTAGTTGAAGACAACATAGCTTGTACAGCAAAATGGTCCCCTTGAATGGATAAACTCATTTAACCCACTTGCCTACCAGGCACTTATACCCCCTTCCTGCCCAGGCCAATTTTCACCTTTCAGTGCAGTCACACTTTGAACGACAATTGCGCCAACATGCAACACTGTACCCATATGAAATCTTTATCTTTTTTCACACAAATAGTGCTTTCTTTTGGTGGTATTTAATCACCACTGGGCATTTTATTCTTTGCGCTATTAAGAAAAAATTAACATAAATAAATAATTTCTTTGTTTCTATTACAAAAACAGGTAATTTTTCTTCTTCACTGATGTGCGTTGATTAGGCTGCACTGATAGGCAGCACAGATATGCATCAATGATGGGCACTGACTGGCAGCACTGCTGGTGGCACTACTAGGAACTAAAAGAAATGGACAAACACACACACACCACACACACACACACACACACACACAGTGTGCACACAACACACACACAGCTGCCACACACACACAAACACACACACACACACACACAACAGTGTTACAACACACACACAACACACACAACACACACACACACACACACAGGACACACACACACACACACACACACACACACACACACACACACACACACACACACACACACACACACACACACAAAAAGTGCTAAGCAGATAAAGTGTCAAAACCAAAAATGATAACATCTATAAATCAATATAATGTGCCTCTCACTCAAAAATCGTGCACACATACTAAATAAGATGCAGAAAACCCCCTCAAATCGAAAGCGGTTAAACAAAAGGTGCTAAAGTGCAATAAAGTGTCCACACTTCAAAATACTCAAATGATCAAAAAAACATCCATAAACAATCTATAGGTGATATATGAATTCATGCAATGTGCAATAGTGTTTTGCAATTCCGTGGCTGTGTCAACACACTTCTTCTATTACGGCTAGATTGCCTCCTCACCTCCTCCTGATGACTCCAAGGGGCCAAACCGCTTGCAGGATCACCCTGGATCCTTAATCATAAAGGCCGGCAACCTTTCTCCTCCAGTGGATCTCCTTATGGGGCTCCTGTTGCCCCTGATCAGACCAGGAGTTTTTAAAGGACAATAGCTCACCAGCCCAGTAAGCCAAGAAAAGACCCTCTAAGTGCAGTATTATTAGAAACCAAGACTCCTTTATTCAGAAAAGAAGAAAGCCACTCACATGTCCTGCAGTCTCCCTCCTCACCAATGTATGGGTATACTGCATGTGTGTGGGACTTCCTGAGTGTACCAAGATGGCGTTGAACGCCAGACGTGCGTCACCGCGCACCGGAAGCTGCGTATTAGCGTACCTATGCGTTACGTCACAGACTGACCCCGAGGAAGTCACAAGCAGTCTGTGACGTAACGTGTAGGTACGCTAATACGCAGCTTCCAGATACACTCAGGAAGTCCCACACACATGCAGTATACCCATACATTGGTAAAGAGGGAGAACTGCAGGACATGTGATTGGCATTCTTCTTTTCTGAATAAAGGAGTCTTGGTTTCTAATACTGCACTTAGAGGGTCTTTTCTTGGCTCACTGGGCTGGTGAGCTATTGTGCTTTAGAAACTCCTGGTCTGATCTGGGGCAACAGGAGCCCCATAAGGAGATCCACTGGAGGAGGAAGGTTGCCGGCCTTTATGATTAAGGATCCAGGGTGATCCTGCAAGCGGTTTGGCCCCTTGGGGTCATCAGGAGGAGGTGAGGAGGCAATCTAGCCGTAATAGAAGAAGTTTGTTGACACAGTCACGGAATTTCAAAACACTATTGCACATTGCATGAATTCATATATCACCTATAGATTGTTTATGGACGATTTTTTGATCATTTGAGTATTTTGAAGTGTGGACACTTTATTGCACTTTAGCACCTTTTGTTTAACCCCTTTGATTTGAGGGGGTTTTCTGCATCTTATTTAGTATGTGTGCACGGTTTTTGAGTGAGAGGCACATTATATTGATTTATAGATAGTTATCATTTTTGGTTTTGACACTTTATCTGCTTAGCACTTTAAGTTATGGATTACACGTAATATTTATTATATATATGTTTCCTATGAGCGCTGCACTATTTGTTTAATACTAATAGGAACTGATGGGCACAAGTGGGAGATACTGATCATCAGTGCCCTGATGATCGATGCCGATCCATCCTCTGACGGTTGCCGGTTGTTGGCAGTACTTCCTCATGCTGTGACAGCGTGAGGAAAAGTGCAGCCAATAACTGGCAACTGCATTTACCAGTGATCTGCTCTGTCACTGGACACAGCTGATCACGTGATGTGGTAAAAGGCCAATCATCGTGGCCTTTTACCATGTGTTCCGCTGTGTAGGACACAGCGATCATGGAGATCGCCGGGTGTGTTCTTGGAGGACGTCATAGGACGCCCTCCCAGGACTGGACCACCGCGCTGTAGTCATTTGGCTATAGCACGGTTGGCAAGTGGTTAAAAATAGCATTTTGTATTTACTTGGGTTATCTTTGTGCAATGAAGTGTTACTAAACCCACAACAGTAAAATCAGTCTCTATATGTAGTAAAGCATGCTTGTTCTACTCACTGTGGAACCTAAGGGGTTAATGCTCCAAATTCTGTAAAGATGCAATTCTGTCTTCTCTGATCTTTCCCTTCTACCCCCCAGTCCATCTGCTGATGGAACAGAGCCTTCGGGGCACGCTGCATATGCTCAGTTTAATGTGTATTGCTGGAGTTTTGTTTTCTTGGGAGAGTGCATGTGATCAGCACAGAGCCAATCAGTGCTGTCCAGACAAAGGGTCAGGGTTCCTGCAACCTCATAGGACAATCAGGGGAGAATTAAACCTACAGGATTTAACCAGTGTTCTGTTGGGCACTGATAGAAGCTCTAACTACTGATGAGAACACCCCCAACAGATTTTTCAGAAAACCTTTATTTTCCTTTCAGAATCAACATTTTGTATGGGACACGACTACAAAATACTCCCACAAATGTGGGCCATTAATTGCAAACAAAATTTGTTAATATGCACACACAAAGTATTTTTCCTAACAAATTCCTTCAAGACCATGTTGCAAAAATGAATACACCCCAATGAAAGTCTTAGGAGAAAAGCTAAATTTTAGACAACAAAATCATAATTAACAAGAATCCAACTACAGGCGAGTCTAATTACTCATTAACCTCCCTAGCAGTCTGATTATGTCTGTATTTCTGTGCTGAAAGCGGTACATTTTTTTGCATGGAAATATGTTTTTTTTTTTTTTTTTTTAATTGTAGGCCTGTAATTTTTAGGAATAACTCACTGAAATCTGTCCGAACAAGAGTCTAGTAAACATCCCGGGTATGTTAAAATTTGAAACACAAAATCATAAATTATAATTTAATAAATAATCATAAAAAATAATAATATAATAATAAATTTAATTCAATAATATAATCAAACCAAAAACACTGAAATTTTAAATATAGCGCCAAGTTTGCACATCACTGAGCAAAGTCGCAAAATCGTTTTCAGTGTCTGATGACGAATTTCCCCACGAATCATCATCACTCAATTCTGCAAGTGGTTCTGATTTGCTATCGCTGTTCTCTAGCCGGTCTAAAACCGCTTTTGACCTAAAGGGACGCTTTTTGGATGCCATGGACATTTCTCAGTTTCCAGGCAATAAGAACAGTAAAAATGCAGGCAGGGCACAGGACAAAGCACAAGGACAAAATGTATGTGAAATGGTTTGATACAGTAATGTTTTACTATGTGATTTTAGTGTATTTAGTGAATGTCACTTTATGTCATTTTCAAATTTCCCGTCAGTTCCGTCCCCATACGTCCCGACGCTCACAGGGAACGGAACCCAGATGACAGATGCCGGCATCCGCCGGAGTACATTGCAAGAGGGACATCGCAGGAGCACAGGACAAGGTAAGTGAAGAACAGATGCTGGAGCAGCGCCGCATGGTGAGCCCGAGTGTAGCTCGGGGTTACCGCTTTTGGTACCGAAACCTTACCCCGAGCTACACTCGGGAATACCGTCAGGGAGGTTAAAAAGGTGCCCAGCGGACAGTTGATTATAAAATGGCTTTACTTAAAGAAAACCCCTTCCCATTTCATGGTGTCAGCAATGGCACCACATGGAAAATAAATGTCACAAGGCCTGAGAAAGAAAATAATTTATTTACACAAGAAAGGTGAAGGCTACAAGAAGATCAGCAAAGCTTTACTTGTCAGAATACTGTAGCAAAAGTGATACAAAAATTTAACAAAGATGGAACTGCAACCATCTCACAGAGATTTCCAGGTCATCCACAGAAGTTAACACCTCGAAAGGAGCATCTTCTGATGAGAAGGGCTGAAGAAAAATCACCATGCAAGTTCACTGCAGTTAGCTAAAGCAGCCTTTCTCAACCACCATGCCCAGGCACCCTGGGGTGCCTTCAGGTTTTTTCAAGGGCGCCTAGCCAAAAAGTCTAAAAACTGCCCAAAACTTGTATAAAAGCCAGCAGGTGGAACAAGACTGTCTTTTAGTTACACAAAGCCACAGGTTTTCATTGTGCACCATTACAACCTTCTAGCACCAGCATCCTGACAACCAATGACATCAGTTGATAAGGAGGATGTCAGCTGCCTGCACAGCATCCTAGTTTGACCCTCCTCTGCCCCTCTGTCAGTGCCGGGGGTCACATTAGCTCAGTGATGGAGAAAAACCTGAGGGAGAAGAGAAACATTGGAATACTAGTCAGCACCAGTGTGCAAAAGTGTATTTGCTTTGGAAGAATAAATCACTTCTAATGTTGGGTGTCCTATGTGTGTGGATGTTGCTGCATTAAATAAAGCTATTAGAATAGTTTTCACATTTTAGAATGGGGTGCCTCAAGACTGTCCATAATTTTAAAGGGTGTCAAGACTGAAAAAAGATTGAGAAACACTGAGCTAAAGAAGGAGAAAGCCAAACTGGAGTGTATTTCCCGTGACACAATACAGCGTACACTGCAGAGGAACGGCATGCATGGGTGTCGTCCACGAAGGAAAGCCCATACACAAAAAAGCCCACCTAGAATTTGTTAGTGCCCATGCTGTAAAAGAAGATGACCACTGAGACTCTACTCTGGAGTGATGAGACCAAGATAAATGTTTTTGGAACTGATAGCTTCAAAACTGTATGGCGTCGCAAAGGTGAGGAGTACAAAGACAAATGCATGGTGCCTCCCATGAAACATGGTGGAGGCAGTGTCTTTCTCAGGGGCTGCATGAGTGCTGCTGGTGTTGGGGAGCTGCATTTGCATTGATGATATCATGAATTTACAGATGTACTACTCTATATTGAAAGAGAAGATGCTACCATCACTCCCTGCCCTTGGTCATCATGCACTTTTCTGACATGACAATGATCCAAAAACACACATCTAAGGCCACTGTTGCATTTCTGAAGAACAGGGTGAGAGTGATTCAGTGGCCAAGTATGTCTCCTGATCTGAACCCAATCAAACTCCTAATGGGAATTCTGAACAGACAAGTTGAGTATCACTCTCCATCCAGCATCCATGCTCTAAAAGAGGTTGTTCTTGAAGAATGGAAAAAGATGTTGGAATATGTCGCCAATTTGTTCATTCCATCCCTAGAAGACATGGTGCTGTCCTTACAAATCATGGAGGTCATACAAAATACTAGATGTAGTAGTTTTTGCTGTGGTGTGTATTTTTGCATCAACTTATAGAACATTTGTTTAGCTCATTACATGAAAGGTTAATATAACTTGGATTACAAAATCTTCAGTTTTACTTAAAACTCAGTTTTGTCATTACATACATATACACGTACCATTGGATTCAGGTGTTCCAATCACCTCTATGGCCACAGGTGTATAAAATAAAGCACCTAGGCATGCAGACTGCTTCTACAAACATTTGTGAAAGAATGGGTCGCTCTTAGGAGCTCAGGGAATTCAAGCGTGGTAGTGTGATAGGTTGTCACCTGTGCAATAAGTCCAATCCGTGAAATTCTTTGCTGCTAAATATTCCATGGTCAGCTGTTAGTCGTACCAAAGTGGAAGCAACTGGGAACAACAGCAACTCAGCAATGAAGTGGTAGGCCACGTAAAATGACAGAGCGGGGTCAGCGCATGCTGAAGCACACAGTGTGCAGAAGTCATCAATTGTCTGCAGAGTCAATAGCTAAAGACCTCCAAACTTTGTGTGGCCTTCAGATTAGCACAACAGCAGTGCGTAGAGAGCTTCATGCTTTCAGAAAGCACACCAGACCTGCAGGTAACAGAAGTCCATGGGCTCAGTGCAGGTAACCTGCAGGCGCACTGTGTTGCACCTGCAGATCAGTTTGAAAGCAGCCCGGTAACCACTGCAGAACAGATAGGCCCATACATACACTGATTTTAGTAATAAACTGACCTTTTAATAACAGTCTTCCATTCAGGAACTGCTGTCCCAGGCAGAGTGCATTTGGTATCACTCCACCTGTGGCAGAAGCCGGCACTATACAGAAGGTATCGGCTCATGTGGCACTGCTCTCTATGGAGCGGTGTGCTCTCTCTACCGCAGACTCCATTCACAACACTGATGTTCTGAGATGCATCCCAGAGCAGGAGGTTGCAGGCCTCTGGTTGGGCACTCCTGGCCTAAAGGATATGTCTACCTTTAGTAACATGTTACATCTGTACTTAGGGTGTAACATGTTACTATAAAGCAACCCCCTCCCCATCTCCCTGCTGTCACATTTTTTTAAAATGACAGATTCGCAGGAATCATAGTTCATTCATTCTTCCTCTAGCTTTGTAACAGAAGGCCTGTATAGAGGAATGGACACAAAGCCAGAAAGACTGTGCAGGAGCCTGACATTGCACCCCGATCTGCTAATTGCAGGTATGATGATTTTTTCAGGCTCCTGCAAAATATGCATTTTTTCTTTTAAAGTTTAACTTGGCCTTGAAGTTCCTTCATGAATTTGCAGACTACAAATTGTGTTAGGTTTAAATGAAATGACCCTTGAGGACATGGAGAATTTCAAATTGGTGGTTTCAGCCTTTTTTTTCCAACACCAAACTATTTTATCAGTGTGCGTCCAGAATCCAATCAAATACTCCATTGTATTAATTGTTAAATGTGCAGGCAATACAGAATTCTATATAAATACCTTTCTGTGGAATAGTAACAGGAGTGATCTCTCTGGCCAACAGCCCAGAGTCCCAGGCTGCTTTGCTTCTGGTGTAAGAGCTAATGGCAAAATTGTCTTGGTCCTCTCTTCCGATATTGAACTTCTTGGCTGTGTTTTCTGCACAATTTCCCTGAAAATAAATCACAGATAATGACCATGTGCACAGATATTTAATATCCTAACAATGCAAACAAATGACCATTAGTATACAACGCTAGTCATTTACTGGAGCAAATAATTTCTACAAAGTTCTATATCACAACTTTCCTGGATCTATAAGATAAGTGTGCTGATTTTTTTTTTTACCAGACTTGCATTACCCCTTTCATATTCCTAGTCTACACTATAGCACAGCCATCTGTAATCGAACACCATTACTACTATGGCATGACTTTACCACTACTGGTCTATCCAGGGTAATCAGTGAGTGCAGCCTGACACCTTTGATTGTAGGACCTGAAGGCTGCTCCAAGAGTGATGGCATTTATTTCAGGAACCTCACTATATACAGTTGAGAGTGAACAATCCAAAAAAAAAATCGCCAAGTGCAGAACTGAAAACTATTGTGGCTGGGGATTGTGGTAAATCTACTGAACACAGCTGGGGAGTCATTTAAAGCTTTGCTATATACTTCCACTCTTTGATACTTAGGGTTACATTGTTACAGTATGCACTGTACATTCTACATCAGGACTTCATATTGTGGAAATCTGCTAAGGGTCAATTAGGACACTGTAATGAGAAATGTATTGTAAGTAGCATTATAAAATGGTGGTATATGTAAAACCGTGATTTAGCTCTAATATTGCACCGTACCATGTGAAATTTATTGTAGACATCAGTTAGTCCATCTTTCACTATCAAGTCTTCCAATTTCACTCCTCCGTATGGTGTTGCACCTCTGCTCATGCAGTAAGGAACATTAGACATGCTCTCCATCCCTCCAGCCACCATGACTTCCTGTAAACATAATAAAGAACATGAATACTAACAAATGGCCTTCGTTTATACCACCACATTTTAGCTGCAAATGTTTTCAGACGAAAATGGAAAACTGAAAGGATCACCAAACACAGAATATGGTTCATTCTTTCTGTACGTATTCATCAGATTAACTCTTTCCTGCCAACAGTGCATAGATATGTGGCTTCACTGAAATAGGTTTTTATTCTGGGGGCCACATATCTACAGTACGCACCTGTAATTTTGCTGGGGGTACACATACCAAAAGACAGACTTTTTTTTTCGGTGTGTGTACCGCTGACTGTTCAAAGGACGGTCTAACTGTCATACTGAAAACCCACCATTCAATCAGTGCATGCAGCCAATGGCAAATCAGCAGCTCCTCTGGATTACAGGTACAGTTCCTGAGCAGGAATCAAGTTGCAAACTCAGAGGATTATAATTACAGGTCATGGGGTTGGGAGGGGGTCTACAAAGGCAGCTCTGCCCAGTTCTCAACTGCAGGAGCTCCAGCTGAAAGAATTAGTCTGCCACCATTAAAAAAAAAGCCATGTTTCCCCACTTCTCTCCTATATGGTCTAATATTAAAATGATATAAGACACAAACAAAAAAAAGTTATATACTGCAGGCTACAAATCCTTAAATGTGGTGGCAGCTTTTATAGGCCTCTCTACTTTCGCCTAATGACCTGGCCAGTAACATCCATCCTGTCTAATGGAATCTCCAGTATGGCTAAAAGGAACAACGGTGACACCTCTGGGGGAAGAGGGTAGTGTTCAGATGCACATGCAGATCTAGATGGCCTTGACTAATGTCAATAAATCCAAACTCCACCAAACTTCCCATGCAGTTACTGCAACAGTCCGTACCCCCCCACCTTTAGGTATAAAGGTTTTACATAAGTGAACAAAAGCTGATCATTGAAAGCACCCCTTTCAGTTGTTAATGATTTTTCTCAACCCTCTAACTTCCACTTGTGCTGGACATGTTGGTCTGTTAAAGGAAGTTGAAAAATACGACTTTTGGCCAGATCACCAGTTCAAAAAAGGTAAAAAAAAAAAAAAAAAAAAAAAAAAAAATCAAATACAGCCACCACCTTTAAAACTGGTAAGCAGCAGCATTATACATTTTTGTTTTTAGATTTATTACTGCTTCAAATAAACTTCACAGAACTGGGACCTTGGTTTCTGAAATTTCACAAGAAATCTAAAAAAAAAAAAAAAAAAAAAAAAAAAAAAAAAGCCAGGAGACACTCACCCAAAACATGCCTAGAGTGGAATCTATAAAACAGCTTTCCACCACTGTGCCCTAGAATCATTGATGTATACAATGTGCAAGATGCTTCCAGAATAGTTGGCAGCTTTCTACACATCTGTTTTACCTGTTGTCAGACCTGACTATCACATGGACAACCCTCTCACCTGGTGTCCACACATTAGAGATTGCGCTGCCAGCATGACGGACTTCATTCCTGAGGCACAGACTTTGTTTATGGTAGTGGTGGGAGTGGAGATTTGTAATCCTAAAAAAGTGAAAAGATCAGGATATATTACCTAAAAGTGTTCTTTGTTTAACACACTTTTTTTTTTTCCATTCCAAAGAAATGAATCAACTTCAGAGTCTGATCATCCATGAGGCAACCTAGGCAGGAGCTTTGGGCCTGGTGGATTGTGGATTGTTCAGGGAACAATCTTGTGCAGTAAACCAAGAGTCACTGATGAGGAGGGGATGCAAATCTACCAACTTTCCTAGGGTTCCATTTTCCCTTACATTGCACCTGATTCACCATTGCCTCTAAATTACATCAAATAAAGCCAATTTTTTTTCAGATCAATTGTGATTCATTCAGAAAATGTGGGTGCTTACAAATACATACAATAATATCATTCACAAATTCTGTTAAAACATTTGAACTCAGCAGCAACCTGCAGAAAAGAAACAAGTGCTGCCATTCTAAAGAATCACATTTCAGCTGAAAAGAAATCCGTAACAATGCAACAAAAAGGAAATGATTGGTTTTCTCTACCAATTACAATGTTACATCTGTCAATGTTGTGTCAAGTGTTACTGAGCAAAAACTGATTGATTCAACTATGTACTGAAAACAACAATGCTGACTGCATGGTTTGCCATGATGCAAGGCATTAGAGGGCAGATCTGCAAATTCATCCATTAGATAGAATAAAAATATGACAAGCATGCAAAACCACCTCAAATTACTTTCTGGTGGTTTGCAAAACGTTTTTGGAGTCTGATTATGTAAATGATTACTGTGTAAAATACACAATATCTTCCCTTTATACATAAATGTGTAAAAAAAAAAAAAATACCTGCACCAAGAGTGGCCTGTCTGGTGGGTGCTTGCCCCTGCCCGGCCTGTAGGACATTGCCCATGTAGACCTCATTCACCTCCTCTGCAGAAATACCTGTTAGGGATAATGTTAGTGTGTCAGTAGTAGACAAAACAGTACAACCTTATAAAGTGTATGTCAGGGCAAAAAAAAAAAAATAAGTAGTACATACCTGCAATACATTAGCCCATTGTTTTATCTTTTTAAAGACCCAGCAAGTACAGGAAAATGCCTATCTGCCAGAAATGCACTCAGCTCCTAAGCAGGCATCACTGCAAGGCTCTTTGTAAGCAATGGTCACACATGGCTCACATGTCTCAAGTCGGGGAGGTGGCCCTACATTATCCAACAGTGTGATTCTTAAGGTACTGGGATTCTACTAACCTGCCTTCTCGACAGCAGCTTTAATAGCAATGGAGCCAAGCTTGGTAGCAGGAAGAGATGACAAGGAGCCCTGGAATGACCCAATTGGGGTCCTCACCGCACTGGCAATGACCACTTCCTTAAAAAGAAAAAAAAAGAAATTTATATTACACAAACAAAACATTCCAATGTGGCTAAATCAAGTCTGTGTGAACATTTGTGGGTTTAGAAAGATAGGCTACTACGGAGGGTAGTGTGGTATACACCAAATTACTAAATATGCTGACTGTAGAGGGGAGAGCAGTGTGGTAGGGTGCGTTATGGGAAGGGAGTTCAGAGAGATCAGATCAGGAACACATGGTTCTAAGTGCCTAGATTTTGGATGTTTGGACACACTGTAGATCACGCATGTAGTCATCACCACATCTATTCTGTCAGTCTGAAGTCATAGTAAGTGGGTTGTCCCTGGTAAATCATAGTCCACTGAACACAATACTTACATTAAGGGAGCGCTGTGATGAATAAGCTCTCTGTGCATATTTTAGTGCCTACAAAAGCAGAAAAAAAAAATTGGAGTTTTAAAATAAAATGTCAAATGAAACATGGTCTTGCAAGTTCATGTGAAATGTTACTATGAAAAGCAACATCCTCATTCTCACACTGGCTACACATGCAGGCTTTCATCCGAATGACTATTCAGTCCACTCAATAAAATCAGCTATAAACTCTTCATTAGTCCTTTTGCAAAATCAAAAACATTTATCCCTGAAGCAATCACTGTATTGATTTGAACTCCAGCCTTCCCTTCAGTCTTGCTCAGTTGTACAGGATTCCTCCTGTACGGACATAGCCTACCGTGATGGCAATTTTGACAAAACCGAACCATACAGCCATTGAAAAACAACCAAACTTGACAGAGGATGGACACGATGGTCCTCATGGATGAAAGTTGGGAATAGTCTTAACAGCTCCCCACAGCAAACAATCTTCTCCAGAATGCTTCTAAGGAAGGTTCTCATCCTTGAAACCACTCTGAGATCTTGTGCCTCAACTCCAGCCACAGTTGTCTGCACCCTCTGAGTTCTGTCACTTTCCACAGTTTGTATACAAAAAAGTAGTGACAAACACTTCCCCCACATCCACCTCTGACAATACTAGGGGGCTTCTGCTAGCAGAACATTTTTTTTTTTCTTTAAATGCAAGGGATCAACTCTGTCTACTGCTATTAGTACTGTTCAGCTAGTCTTGTAATCCAGGCGCCACACAGAATAGTCAAGTCCTGCTTGGGTTCATCCCTGTAGACTACACAGGAGTTGATTGATGTGGCCTGGTCTAGAACTACCTCACTCTGATTGGACAATGTAGGAGGAGCTAGCACACAGGTCTGGTTGGACTTTGTTTATAAAGAAGCCATGCTATATAGATTAGGAATATCAAATCAAATGTTCCATCAGAGCTGGTTTCCAAAGTAGAACATCTTACACACTACAAATACATTTGCCATTGTCCCCCATCAGCTCCAACTTATGACAATGATTAAACTTTTAACAACCCTGTATTAAACTTTAAGAGGTTTCCATTATGTACACAGGGCTCCCCGTGTTTATCCAGACTAGTGCGTTTACTGCCAATAACTGCAATGGATCATGCATGCTTAAAAGCAACCACAAGCCAAGCCGAGCAATGACTGGGCAAAGTCAGATGAAAATGCTGGGTACATGAGCCAACAGCAAATGGTGGCAAGAGTCCAGACAGCAGATGACTTGGCATTCACCTCTGTAGCTTCAAGTGGTTTATATATTCAGAGCTCTGGCAGCTATACTCCCAAACACTATTAAAAAGGTCAAAAATACAGATACTAGATTATAAGGGGGAGATTTCAGTTATACGATTTCATTTTCAAATCCATTTCCTGTAGCCCAAACGCCATACCTTTCTCAGTTCTGAAGAAATGGCTGCTTGCTCCACCATATCCTATCACATTCCAATGTCTAAATGGAATGGTCTGCCCTCAAGACTATGTAAAACGTTTTGGTGAAGTAGTGCGTATTAAAACCCCTGTCCAGTTGTTTTTTCCCCGTGTCCCATTAGGGACATTTCTCTACTGCCTGTCCTGGAGAAGCAACACAAGTGAAAAGAAAACTCCACAAAGTGCAAGGAATCCCCCTCTTGGGGCTCATTCACATGGGTCCATACACTAAAAAAAAAAGAAATGTATTCCTGTGCTGGGAGTCAAAGGTGTTGCACAGTCGTTAGTACAAAATCTGCGACAAGTGGTGTTCGTATGCAGAAACCGCACATCCAAAACGGTGTCCAGGGGCACACACCCGACATTGTATGCATGCAGGGGTGTGGACATTTTGTAAAAAAATACTTTGTCCAAGGGCCAAATCTGTGCCCCAATCTACTTGTCCAGATGGAAAAAAAAAAAACAAAACACATTTTAACCAAAACCACATTTAAATCGGAGGTGATATTAGGAATGTCTGGGGCTTTTAACCACTTCCCGACCGGCCGTTGTATATAAACGGCCGGACGGTGGCACTGCAGGGTCGGGTGGCCGTCTATAAACGGCCTCCCCGCACCCTGCTTGTGCGCGCTCCCTGGGAGCGCGCAGCACCGCGATCCGGTGCCCGCTGTGTCCTCCGGACACAGTGAAACACCGATTGTCGGACGGGACCTCTGTACGAGGTCCCGATCATGTGATCACTGATTGGCCAATCAGTGATCACATGCAAAGTAGTAAGCAAGATGTCACTTCTGACATCATTGCTTACTATGTGTGAAATCTGTGAATGATCACAGAGGTCACATGGTACAAGGCTATTCACAAAAGCCTTGTACCATGTGACAAGCTGTGACCAATCACAGCTCACTCAGTTCTTCTCAATGAGTGCAAGAATGCACACAGAGAGAAAGAGAAATGATTGCTTTTACACCCTATATGGGTGTAAAAGCAATCAGTGTAAAAAAAAAAAAAAAAAAAAAAATCTTCATCACCCCCCACAAGTAGTACAGTGTCACCATGGTGACACTGTACTGCTAGGGTGACAGTATGTAAAAAAGATAAATAAAAATAAAAAATAATAATATAAAAAATAAATTAAAAATGTAAAAAGAAAATGTTTAAAAATTATAATTTTTGCTTATTTACTAAAAAGATAACGGAATAAATTTTGGCTAAGATTTATGATGAAATATTATTTATTTGCAAAATTTTATAAAAAAAAAACTTTTTTTCAAAATTTTTGGACATTTAATTTACATAGCAAAAAAAAAATACAAATCCCAGTGGTGAATAAATACCACCAAAATAAAGCTTTATCTATCTCAAAAAAATGGTAAAAAATTCATTTGGGTACAGTGTTGCATGACCGCGCAATTGTCATTCAAAGTGTGATAGCGCTAAAAGCTGAAAATTGCCCTGGTCAGGAAGGGGGTAAAAGTGTCCGGTCTGGAAGTGGTTAAAAACAAAAAACGGGCTTTATGGAGACTTAACTTTAATATTTTCAACACTGAGCTGTTTATCCCCTCCTTGCCCATCTCCAGCACCGCATCCAGGGACTAGCAGGGAGGAGAGAGACCTTGCAGTGTAATGAGCACTGATTGGCTGCTCTTTAGGAAAGGGACATGTCTGGCTTTATCCTTTATCCCTTTCACTGCCAGAGCCGTTTTTGCACACGTTTTAAAAAAGCATTTTAGGCCTGACGATTACATAAAACCCCCAAGCAATATATATTTTCTGAAAGCAGAGAACCTAGGAATAAAATAGTGACAGTCCCAATTTTTTATGTCGCATGATATTACCGCAAAATTTCAGTAAAAAAATAGTTAATTCTAGGGCACAAAAAAAAGCAATTATTATCACTATTTTTTTGGAAAATATAAAAGATGAGGTTGCACAGAGTAAATAGATATCCAACTTGTCAAACCTTAAATTTGTGCGCTTGTGAAATGGCGATGAACTTCAGTACCCTATATTTTCTTTAGGTCGACGCTTATAAAGCTCTTTATGGTCATCGGTTTAGCGTTACAGAGGAGGCCTAGTGCTAGAATAATTGCTCTCATTCTGGCATACGCGGCGATATGTGATCCAATCTATGTTTTCATGGGTAGGCGTTCCACAGCGGGTAGGCGTTCCCCTATATAATTTTTTTTTTTTGGCGACAGGTTCTCTTTATTCAGGCATTCAAGGTCTAAAAGACCCTGCATGTCTCCCCTGTGCTCCACTGAATGCAATGCAGTTCACATTGCACTGCATTACATTCTTTCCTGGCTTCCATGGCTGGGAATCTCTCAACGGGAACCCGGAAGTGACATCATAACGTCACTTCCAGGTCAGTACAATAGGGGAGGGGAGCGGATGTGTTTTAGAGGCTGGCACTGTGTGGAAACAATCGGGCGGCAGCTTCCACTTGACAGATGAGCCCTGCTCCTTGCCCACAGCAAAGCTAAAAAAAAAAAAAAAAAAAAAAAAAAAAAAAAAAAAAAAAAAAAAAAAAAACTACCTGCCCAGTACCCAGAACTAAATGTCCCGGGCGTCGGGTGCTAGGAATCGAACATCCCTGAGCATGTAATAACTTAGATGTGTGGTTACCAGCGTACAGCTGCAGCCTGTCATTTCTGTAGGCAAGGCCTGTGACCATGGGCACGGAAATGTGCTCTTTATGGTGTACAGACCTTTAAGCTACAAATCACGAGCATTGCTAAGCTGATGAAGCCGAATTACTTCAAAATGTGTCCTGTATCTATGGCGCATGTGTGTGCAGAGATGTCGGGGATTCCCGTCCAGGGCTGAACACCAGTTGCAATGACAGCAGCTTCCTACATCTCCAGCATTCTTCATCCCCAGCTGGTGGCTCTCTGGTTGCCCCTCTGACATCTCTGGCTTGCAAGTCACATTTATGCCATGCCCTTCACATGCGTACTTTTGTGAGTGCATTTCTGTTTTTCAATAAATTGACATTTTTAATGCTACACTATGGAGTTGCGCTTTTTCTTTTGTTTTCTTCCAATGGTTGGAAGGAAAGTGCCTTCTCTGGTCTTCTAGCTCCTAGTTTTAGCTATGTTTAGCACTCTGGGCCATCCTATGGCACTCTGGTCAGGTATAAGCAATGCAGAGTGCAGGAGTAGCAGAGCAGAATTTCTCAACCTTTTTTTCAGTTGCAGTACCCTTTAAAATGCAAAATCTCGAGGTATCCCAGGTCTAAAATATAAAAACTCTAAATGTTATTTATCAATCGGAAACCTGGAGAGATGCACACAACAGCTTTGATGAAACTGACGTCACCTCAAAAGCTCCCTCATTATCGTAGAGGCCCCATCACATCAAAAGGTCCCACCTTCATGTCAAAGGTAATTATGGCAACTCATGACGATGACACAGGACAAACTGGGTTCTTTACCTGCAGAACCTCAGGGGCTTGAGAAACACCAACCTAGAGATCTGCAGCAATTCTGCCCCTCCCCCCTTATCTGTGTCACATGGCACGTTAGAATCGAGGAGTCAGTTTCCTCAGCTTTGCAAAGCCACACTGATTATTTCAGGTACTTCTATAGCTCCATCAATTTACGCAGCGCTTTACATATATATTGTACATTCACATCAGTCCCTAACCCTCAAGGGGTGTACAATCTAAGGTCCCTAACTCACATTCATACATACACATATTAGGGCCAATTTAGACAGGAGGCAATTAACCTACCAGCATGTCTTTGGAATGTGGAAGGAAACCATGGCACCCGGAGGAAACCCATGCAGGCACAGGGAGACCATGCAAACTCCAGGCAGGTGGGGCCATGGTTGGGATTTGAACCAAAGACTAGTACTGCCAGGCAGAAGTAATAACCATTTAGCCACTGTGCTGCCTGATCTGAGAGGCAGTAGGTGGAGTCCTGATCTAATCTTCTATTGCCAGGTAGATGGAGATCAACTGATTGCTGATCCCTGCTCTACAACAGCTTATTTCAATTTCAGTGGTCCATGGGGAAAAAGTCGTGTTATAGCCCCAACATGAAACGGATAGCAACTAGAAAAAAAAAACACGAAAAAGTCCTTGCAAGATAAAAAGCAAATCTGAGAAGTGAAGCAGTGTGTAGGCCTCACTGAGGCACTGATGGAAGTATTCTGCATGTTCATGCCCTTGGTTTGGCCCTGGGAGATCTGTTCACGCCCTTGGTTTCAAGGACTGAACATTGTTGCATTTTTATGAATGTTTTATAGAACACACACACAAAGTATGAGTCCTTCAGGGGCTCCTTTTCAAATTCCAAGCAGGCTTTCATATGTTTTGTACTGAGGAGAATCTTCTGTCTAGCCACTCTGCCATAAAGCCCAAATCAGTGGAGGGCTGCAGTGATGGTTGTCCTTCTGGAACTTTGTCCCATTTCTACACAGGATCTCAGCCAGAGTGACCATCGGGTTCTTGGTCACCTCTCTTACTAAGGCCCTTCTCCCCAAATTGCTCAGTTTGGTGACCAACTCTTGGAAGAGTCCTGGTTGTGCCAAACCTCTTCCATTTGAGAATTATGGAGGTTATTGTGCTCTTGGGAACCTTCAGTGTAGCAGAAATTGCTTTTGTAGCCTTCCTCAGATCTGTGCCTTGCAATAATCCTGTCTCTGAGCTCTGCAGGCAGTTCCTTTCACCTCGTGGCTTTTGCTCTGATACCGTATGTATTGTCAGCTGTGAGGCCTTTTATAAAGAGGTGTGTGTCTTTCCAAATCATGTCCAACCAAGGCGTAGAAACATCTCAGCAATGAGCAAGAGAAATGGGAGGCACCAGAGCTAAATTTCAAGTGTTGTTACACAGGGTCTGAACTTCTAAAAGTGTGTTCACTTTGTCATTATGGAGTGCAGATTAACCCCTTCATGCCTAAGGGTAAAACAAAATCCCAACGCCTATGCACAATCTCGCAACTTTGACATGTGTTAGTAAAACCGTCCATATTACAACTACTTTGTACATTCAGGTGGATTATACCTTGTTTTTTTTTTCAGGACAAACTGGGCTTTCAATTGGTGTTAAATGGTATCTCCTTATTTTTTTTTTCTATCATCATCAAAGGAAACTAGCCCAAAATAGTAAAAAAAAAATTTTTTTATTTAGCTGTGTGTTTCTTGTAACTACCATAACCTACCACCAAAGAACAACCCAAAATATATTTTCAGCGATACCATATATGTATGTTATTTGTAGCCACAGTACAGCCCAGAAACAACAGTGTGCGCATTTTGTTTTGTTTTTTTACCTAAAAAAACACACTGACGCCAATTTAAAAAAAAAAAAAAACCTGACCTTTGACCCTGACCAAAAGACTAACCCTGAGACTGAACTAAATCAAACCTTGATCTAGGTATTTTTTTTCTTTATTTTTTAATATTTATCTTTTTTTTCCCCCTCTCATGCAAGGAAAGAGATACAATGGAGCTCTCTCCTCCATTCATAGAGAAAAAAAAAAAAACAAGGGGGATAGGGCTGAACAGTGACTGATCACTGTGACAGCCAGAGGCTATCACAGCAATCATGTGACCTGGAATCTAGAGTCTCTGGTTCAGATCATTAGAACATGACCCGGGGCTCTCAATGACACCCTGGTCTTTGTGCTGGGAGTGAGCTGTGCAGAGCGCGCTCCCAGCACAAAGACAGGTACACAAATATGCAACCCCACGGAAAAAAAGCCCAGTTTGGAAGGCCCCCCCCGATACAATACAGCCAAACTGCCATCCCATAGGAGATGGTTAGGGGGCCGCTTGGGGAATCTGTTGCTGGTGATTATGCACCCCCTATAGATCTACTAACAACTATGTAGTGCAAGAACCTGTCGGATTGGATACTAATTGAATGGATAGTTCAATTCTCATAGTTTTAAGAATTCTAAGAATGGCCACACACACTACAATCTGATTGTACAAGCCCTATGTAACATTAGGACAAACTTAAAAAAAAAAAAAATCTGATTGTTATCCAATCACACACACATCCTGACCTTACTTAGTTGTTGGCAGGTCTAAGGCCCCATTCACACCTGTGTGTTCCTGAAACTAGCAAAAAAACCATCACCCCAAACAAGGCCAGCAGACACATCTTTTGCTGCACCACACAATGTGCAACAAATGCGCTACAACACATGGTTAAAAAAAAAAACAAAAAACACTGTTCACCCTGCACTGTGTGTAAAAAACACCATTAAAAAACAAAATCAAGGCTACAAAAAACTACTTAATAAAAATGTTTAAAAAAAAAAAAACTTCTACCAGCATTTTTATCCAGCGGTTTTTGAGTTTAAAAAAAGAAAAAAAAAAAAAAAAAAAAAACAAAATGTTAGCGTGCATGGAGTCTAAAAGAAAATGAATGCAGCCAGCACATCTAGGAACTGGTAAGCTGTAATATAATAAAGGTTTGCTTTTGTGTTTAATTGTTTAATTCTATTACGCAGTTTGCGTTTGATCCATTTCTGCAGTCTTTTTGTGGTGCGTTTTGCATTTTTTTGCTCATGCGTTTTTTTTACATGCTTTTGATGCATTTTTTTTGCCCAAGTTGCTGCTAGGCAGATTAAAAGTGCAAAAACGTATTAAAAAAAAATGCATCAAAACCACACTACCTGCATTTCCGCAGCATCTCAACTGAAGTCTATTGAACCAAACACGCAAAATTTTGCATTTAACCACTTCCCATCCATCCCATGTACATAAGCGGCTGGACGGGAGCAGTGCAGGAGCGGGTTGCCGTTCATAAATGATAGTTGCATCTTAAACCTGTGCACACTCCCTGGGAGCACGCAGCACCACGATCTGGTGCCCGCTGTGTCCGGAGGACACAACGGAACACCGATCGCTGTACGGGACCTCTATGTAAGGTCCCGATCACATGAATAGTAGTAAGCAAGATGTCACTTCTGACATCATTGCTTACTACATGTGAAATCTGTGAATGATCACAGAGGTCACATGGTACAAGGCTATTCACAACAGCCTTGTACCATGTGACAAGCTGTGACCTATCACAGCTCACACAGTATTTCTCAATGGCTGCAAGAACGTGTGAGTGAAGGAGAAATGATACAGCCTTTATGGGTGTAAACAAACCCCCCAAAAAAACAAATCCTCACCCCCCACAAGTAGTACAGTGACACTACAGTGACACTGTACTGCTAGGGTGACAGTATGTTAAACAAATAAATATAAAAAAAAAAATAAAACTGTAAAAAAATTTTGAAAAATAATAACTTTTGGTTATAAACTAATTTGGGTTTTTTTTTTTTACTAAAAAGATAGCTGAATACATTTTGGCCAGGATTTATGAAGAAAGACTATTTGCAAAATTCTATAAGAAACACTTTTCTTCAAAATATTTGGACTTTTCATCTATATAGCAAAAAAAATCCCAGTGGTGAATAATTACCAGCAAAATAAAGTTTTATCTGTCTCAACAAAATGCAAACAATTCATATGGGTACAGTGTTGCATGACTGCGCAATTGTCATTCAAAGTGTGATAGCACTGAAAGCTGAAAACTGGCCTGGGCAGGCAGGGGGTGAAAGTGTCTGGACTTGACCTGGTTAAAAAGTCCCTGACTTTACCCAAAAATTGCACCAAGTAAAAACAGAATGTGAACGTGTCCCATAGGAAATCATGTTAAATGGACTGTAGTGCGTTTCTGCTTAGGTGTGAACAGGGAGATTGTACAATGTATGGTCAGCTTCCATAAAAAAATAGAATTTCTTTTAATTATTACTTATGTTTTATATATATATATATATATATATATATATATATATCTGTAGTAAATTGCAACAAAGCTGTGGAATAAACGGTGTCGGTAAGAAGTGACACCTGACACAACGATGAATTAGCTGACGATGACACTGTGCTAACACTCCATGCAGAGACCCTGAGCGGACTTGGAGTCCTCCATTCTCCGGTCAGGACACAGTGTGGTCCCCCCTCTCTCTCTACAATGGTCTGTTCCGTGTAATGTGGTGTGGGGCTGCAGGTGTCCATGTGTGAGGCGCACAGCCCCGCAGCCTGCCCATACACTCCTATTACAGGTGCCGGGTACTCACCAGAGCCGGGCGCGGGATACAGAAGGCCATGTCCTCAGATCGTACTGCGCCTGACTTCTATTACTCCTGCGAGTCACCTCTACACAGTACAGCCCACCCCGCCTCTTCCTCTGGCCAATCACCGGCCCCGCAGTGACGTATCCCTAAATATGTATTGGCTTAGGATCACGAGGAGTGGCTTATAGTCGGTGTGGGTCACCATTGGCTGACAGAAGTGGTAGTCATGGAGAACGTCTGTTAGCGTATAGCGGCCATGTTTGATCCTGGCAACTTTGTCTTCTTTGTAACACAGGACACTGAATGTGATACAGATAAGGCAGTGAGGTTAAAAAATACAAATACGATGTGTTGTATATGGAATAGGACAGTGTGTGTACAGAGACTACACCAGTGCCAACATTTCATCTGCATCCCTGACTAACCACTTGCCCTTCTGAGGATTTACCCTCCTTCCTGACCAGGCCATTGTTTGTGTTACAGTGCTGTGTTACTTTAACTGACAATTCCGCAGTCATGCAATGCTGCACCCAAATTAAATTTACATTTTTTTCTCCCATGAATTGAGCTTTCTTTCACCGGTATTTGATCACCTGTGCGTTTTTTATTTTTTGTGCTACAGAAAAAAAAAGCAACAATTTTGAAAAAAAGCAATATTTTGATTTTTTGCTATTAACCATTTGCCGCCCGCAAAAATGCTCTAGATTTCTGGGGTGGATGCCATTTGGTGTCCTCCCGCACATGCGCAGTTTTCGCGCTTGCAGAGCCGCGCAGCGGCGTGATCTGTCACCGCCCGTGTACCTCGGACATGGCCGATGACAGATCTGAGTACCGCCCCCGTTTCCGGTACCATGTGACCTGCTGTGAGCAATCACATGACAATTGTATACAATGGATGGCTTCATTCATGCTATCCATTGTATACTAGTGTCTAGCTGTGAATGGTCACAGCGATTACATGCACATGTCATGTGATTAGCTGTGGCCAAATCACAGCTAAGCACAAAAAAAAAAAAAACCTGAATGAATCGATGTTATTCAGGTAAATGCTTGCTTATAGCAAACTAATTCTTTGCTATAAGCAAATTGTGTAAAAAAAAAAAAAAAAATACTGATCACTTCCCCAAAGTAGTACAATGTTACTATGGTAACATTGTACTACTTTGGTCATAGTGAAATATGAAAAAAAAAATCTTAAAAAAATTAAAAAAAGTAATTAAAAATTAAAAATAATTAAAAAAAATAAAAAAAAATTTTCATACTGTCACCAGTCAGTGTCCCTGATCACCGCCATGCCAGTTATATGATGACACTGTGCTGCTCTGGTGACAATATGTAAAAAAAAATAGTGAAAATAATTTGTTTAATTTTTTCATTTTCCGAAAAATTATGACAAAAAATGCAACTTAAAAAAACTCGCCATGCCTGTTATGAAATACGTCGAACTGTCTACTTTACAAAAAGGGGTAATTTGGGGATATCTGTACTGTTCTGACATTCTTGGACCTCAAGAAATTAGACTGGCTGTCAGTACTTCAGGATTGATCAATATTCAGATCTATACCATAGTTTGTGAACTATATAACTTTCCTACAAACTAAAAAATACATCCTAATTTGGGTTATTTTCAGCAAAGACATGTAGCAGAATACATCTCGGCCTAAATTTATGAAGAACAATTATTTATTTGTAAACTTTTATAACAGAAACAAAGAAAAATGTGTTTTTTTTTCCAAAATTTTCTGTCTTTTTTTGTTAATTTAGCAAAAAATAAAAACCTCGGCGGTGATTAAATACCACCAAAAGAAAGCTCTAGTTGTGTGAAGAAAATGATCAAATTTTAGTTTGGGTACAATGTTGTATGACCGCGCAATTGTCATTCAAAGTGTGAGAGCACTGAAACCTGAAAATGGCCTGGGAGGGAAGGTGTAAAATTGCCCGGTATTGAATTGGTTAAACATGTCCCGTAAAAAAAAAAAATTAAAAAATCAAATTTTGTCATAAATTTAGGCCAAAATGTATTTGCGACGTCTTTGCTAAAAAAAAATCCCAATATGTGTAAATTAATTGGTTTACGTGAAAGTTATAGCGTTTATAAATGGCGGTATAGATAATGGATTTTTATTTTTACTTGTAATGGCGGCGATCAGCGACTGACATTCTGACACTGGGGGGAACTGACTTGGTGTCACTGACATCCCCAGTGACACCAATGCAGTGATCAGTGCTAAACCCCCCCCCCCCCCCCCACTAATGACACTGTACTAATGGCACTGGGCAGGAAGGGGTTAGCATGAGGGGCGATCAAAGGGTTAACTGTGCGCTTGGAGTGTTTTACTATGGGGCGGTGTCTGTATGCTTCACTGTAATCACACTGCTTTGGATGGCTGTGCTGTGCAGTGTGCCCCCGAGCTGACAGGGAGGAGGACTGTTAGTAAACAAAACAGTTCTCCTCCCTGTCGGAGATCCTCGGAAATCACCGGGCAACGGAAAGTAATAACCGCTCGGGACCCAGTGATTGACAGCCACAGCTGTGATTGGCGGCACAGGTGTACCCCCTACCTGGCAATGCAAAATCACGTATATATACATGGTTTTGAGCACCCGTGTTGCCTTGTAGCAGTATATCTGCTGTAGGGTGGTCGGAAAGCGGTTAAAGACACTGGAACTGGTGAGTGACCCCGTTGTGCCATGCTTCTACTAAATCCAGGCACTTAAGGAGGCCATACATTAGACAATTGTCTTGTACTATTATCCTTTGGATTTACCAAACCTGTATAATATGAGGTCAAACATAAACAACACTTTCAATTATATCCAGTCAGGATACATACATACTGTAGTTGCACTACATAGTTGGCGGAAGATCTAAAGGAAACTGTACAGAAAATTGTACAATATATGGCCAGCCTTAAGGATGTATTCAGGCTCTGACGGATTGCCTTTCGAAATCTAATAGATACGGTGAGCAACTCCTCCCGGCCTTGCTCAACATCCTGAATGCTGCCATGAATGGACCTGGTTTGCCCCCCTCCATGAATGAAGCTGTTATTATAGTATTATTGAAACCTGGCAAAGATAGGTTAAAACCTGACTCCTACCGACCTATTTCCCTTCTGAAATTGCTGGCCCGGGTTCTAGCTACTAGATTGGAGCGGATCATTGGTAATATCGTGCATAAAGATCAGTCGGGGTTTATTAATTCTAGAGCGACAGCTAATAATATTTGTAGACTTTATTTGAATTTGCAAATCCTGGTGGACAATCCAGGGTAGAGGGCAATTTTGTCATTGGACTCGGCTAAGGAATTTGATAGCATGGAATGGCCTTATTTGTGGGAAGTACTGTACTGACTAGATTCAATTTTGGCTCCAAGTTCATTAGTTGGGTACGTCTTCTTTATGCGACCCCCAGTGCATGAATTCGGGTTAATGGGGATTTGTCAGATTCATTCAGGCTGCAGAGGGGGACAAGGCAGGGCTGTCCTCTCTTTGTTCACTTTGGCGTGCTTTTGGTGCGGCAATCTCCAGACATTTTTGATTTCAAAAGAGGTGTTCTCTTGGAGAAGATATCCCTTTACACAGATGACACACTGTTATATTTGGGCAATACTTCTGCATCCTTAGATGCTGTTATGTCCCTTATTGAACGTTTTGGAAGCTTTTCCGGCTTTAAAATTAACTGGCATAAATCTGTGTTGATGCCCGTGAATCCTGTGGACCTCCCCCCTTTCGGCCTGTACGCAGTAAATACAAGTGGTGTCTACATTTAAGTACATAGGGGTGGTGGTCTCTCCCGATCCTAGACAGTACATTTCTCTCAATTTTTTGCCTCTACTCCATCAGCAGAAATTGAAGTGTAACAGTTGGTGCAAACTCCCTCTGTCGGTGGTGGGCAGGGTCAACCTAATTAAAATGATTTGAGCCCCGCAACTTCTCTATATTTTCCATAACTCTCCCATATGGATTCCTAAGAAATGGTCTTATCGTGTAGAGACCCAGTTTAGGAGCCTCATTTGGAAAAAAACAGACGACTAGGATAAAATTGTCCACGTTGCAATATGGCAAGGATTCAGGGGGGTTGACGGTTCCTGAGCCTAGACTATATGTTCTGGTGGCTCAATTGCAGCAACTGGTTGGTTCAGATTTACCTGATAATACTGACCCCATTACAAGTTTGATTTCCCTTCCTGATTCCACCATTTCGGCTCTCTCTCATCTTGAGATGGCTCTGCCGGTCCTTCCATCCACGGCTCCAACAGCGGACCTTCTGCGGCGTGTGTGGAGTACAGTAAAAGCATCCTTTCATATTACCAGTTTTCTCTCCAGTACCCTCTTGTGGAATAATCAGCAAAATGTAGAATTAGCTACACTAGAGGTTTTTCAAGAATGAAGGGAACGAGTTTTGCAATTTATATCTCAGCTGTACTCGGGGGAGACTCTAAAGCCCTTTTCACAATTGCAAACAGAATTTACATTTACACACAAGCAATTTTAACGTTATCTTCAGCTACGCCATGCGGTACAGGCCCAGTCTCTGCTCTCCAATTTCACGTTGACAGACTGGATCTTCCTTAAGGATGTAACGGAGGCTACCCATAAGAAGGGCATGATTTCTCATGTCTACTCCCAGTTGTTATCCATGGTACAGGATCATGCTAGTCTCAGGGGTAGAGCGCAGTGGATGTTGGAGAGCTCGCTGGAGATGTCTGGGATGCTTCCCTAGAATCTGTTCTGGTGATTTCTCTTTCTCCTTCTCATAAATTGTTTATTCTCCATCGAGCATATAGGACTCCTGTGCAATCGCCTGACTGCCCGAGGTGTAAGGCCCAGCAAGGTGATTTGATTCACATGCTATGGTGTTGCCCCAAGTTGCATAGATATTGGAGTGAGGTTCTCCAGTTTATTTCCCTAGTATCGCAATATACTGTTCCCCAGGATCCCTTGCAATGTTTGCTGGGAGCACTGGACCAAGAACTGCTCCAACCTGGAGGGTATACAGTATCTTGGTGTCTAGACTTTTATATCTGGCTA